CTTAGATTTATAAAAACGGAATGAATTAGTTTTCATGTGCATTTAATGTATCCCTCAAACACTTCGTAAGTTGACTAACAACAAAAGTACGTTTATGTTTTTAAACATCGATTTGTTTTAGAACGATATAGACATTCCTGAGCTGCCGGTTCCTGAGCTGTGACCCCTTTATAGATTTTGAGTGTTTCGCAAAGTCCGATTTTTATAACAAGTTATAGTATTGATAACAAGTCTTATTTTATCATCAAATGTAAGGTGATGCCAGCATCAGAAACTACCAACACGTTTAAGATCTCATTCTTATATTAAAGTAAGTTCCCAGTTCGGTAAATTAGATCTTAATTTATTTGCTATGAAATATTCAAATTTCATTAAAATAAGTTTCCAGCGTATGTGTCTTCTGAGGTGTCTTTTAGTTTCCTAAAAAACTTTCAAGTTCTATTAAAGTAAGTTCCCAGCTACGTATGTGCTTTCTGAGGTCTGATTTCCTTTCCCACAAAATCTTCAAATTCCATTAGAGTAAGTTCCCAGTTTTCTGTAATTATTTTTATGTTGCTTCTATTTATTTGCATACCGTTCTTAAATCGTTTTAAGTTAAAGTCTATATAACCTATTTCGATTGCTTTAGCCCTTATAGATTACATATCTCTTTGGTTGTCCTATATATTTTTTTTGTATATCTAAACTGTTAACTAAATTCATGAAATCTCTAGTATCTCTGAGTAAACAAGTAATTTAAATAAAATTGCAATAAAGTATATTTTTTGTAAAACTTAACTGATTAAATATATACTTTATAAAATTGTCTTCTGATCTCAAAATGTTTAGATTTGTGGTAAACTCAGTTATATTTTTCATAATACACATATATATTTCTTATAACTGAATTATATTAAAACCTCATTAATATTGATTTCATATTGATTAGCATATTCCACAATGAGTTGTGATCAGGGATTATATTTAAAAAATTTACATAAGGAGAGATAATGTATAGATGGTCCAAAATTCTTTATTTTGTTCACTACATCTTTATTTTGTTCACATCTTAATAAATTATTTGTATTTAATATATCACTTTCTCATCTAAATCACAACTTCCTGGATGAAAATTTTACTAATTTGTATTTAAATTAAAAAATACATATACGAAGTCATGTGCTGTAAGTCTGAAATTGAATACTAATATAATTCAACTTTAAAAAAATCGCATAATTTTTTTTAATCCTTAACGCCTTATCCTTCTTAAAGACCAAGTTATTTCTTCACCTTCGTCTTCCTTAATGAAAATAAAAATCTGCGGAATAGCAGAGCGAAATATTTATCCATTTGATTAGCTTTTATTCTGCAATTGTCCAGTATTTTCATATAATTGTAATCGACTGGTGGAGGATTAGTTTTGGAAATTACTCCAACAGCGGCCAGTGAAGAGGATATATATAAAAATTGTTAAAAACGTTTCTTAAAATAATAAATTCACTAAATAAAAAAAGTAAAAAAAATCTGGATTATATGATTATTAAATGATTATTATTGCATTTTCACTTTCATTCCTAAATTTTTAAATTATCTTGACAAATGATGAATGAGTTCAGGAGGTACAATAATTATTTCAATAAAGCCTATTATATCTTTTATATTATAAAAATCTGTATCTATGTACATCCCCCTAATAACATATTTCACATAACACCTAAAGCAATTATTATGCACTTTACCTACTATTTATTATTACAACTGTTCTCTATGTATGAGGCAGTATTCTTTCACTTAACCCTATCAAGTACTCATTTTCAACGAATGGAATAAGTCAAAAATAAATAATAAAACAAATTAAAATAAATAAAAATTCTTTTTAAAACAAAAATTCTTTATATATATTTTTTATGAAAATAATTGCATAAGAAATTCATAGGTTTACTCCCCTAAAGAAATAGGCTCCGAAAAATCCTATCATATGTATGGGTAACATACGATATCTTTAAATTCCAACTAAGTGCACACAAACCTACTAACTCCTCGAATGCATACCCGTCACCCCACTAAGTGAAATAGGAAGACAACAACAATGTGAAGAACTTCACTTGTTACAAAATAGCGAACTCTTTTCACACTGTATTGTCATTCCAAAAAAAAAAAAGATTGTCAACAGGGAAGCTAATTTTCTCCATAGAGTGAGTTCTGTTACGAATGTATGAGGAAATGAACCCTCGATTGAAAAGCAGTTAAAATTATGATGGACAAAATTTAGGGGAAATTTTATTATTTGTGTTATTTGGGCAATGCCCTATTGCGGTTAGGAAGTACAGCAACGACATTCCTTACACCGCGTTACTTTGCCATCGTCCATTAGCGCGCACATTACCTTTCAGCGGACTAATATTTAACCTTGCGCACTGCTAAAAAGGGTGTCCAAGTCCAAGGGTTTCGAAGAGAGGGGAAGCAGTGTTAATTGTTTATGATTAAGTAAGTTAATAATTTGACTTCAAAGCGTGTAAACATTTAAAGGTGAGGCAGGTATTTATGGAAAGGCTTAAATGCAATCCAATTCACCGCTGATATTATTCACAGAGCGCTTTTTTGTTGGAAGAACAGGGTATGACGATAGGGTTCTGTTACAAGTGCAAGTAGGTTTTGAAGTGATTTTTTTTAAAAAGTTCACTGATTTTTGTGTGTTTATTTATTAAATATTATTTCACCTTGTGTCTTTATTTTTATGTATACCTAATATTTTCTTTCTTACCTCATATTTTCCCTGTTTAATAAATTCTATATCCTTTATTTATTTTTAGGGTGCAATACAAGTAGTAAAGGGTTGATTTATATAGTAAAACAAAACACAAGTTTTCTTATTAATTATTTTTTTTTTTTCATTTAAGTAATTATGCTTGACTTAAATAACAAGTGTCGTAGAATGACTTTTGTGAAGGAATTGTTAATTTGTTAACATAAGAACTAAACTTTTTATTAAGAATGAATAGAATAAAGTGTTAAAGATCTTGTAATTTAGTCCTCAACAATTTATCCAAGCCATTTAGCTTATTACAATTAAAATAAATTATTTTTCATAATATAGAAATAAACAAATAGAAACAATGGATACAAAATATCAGCAAAATATTTTGATATAACATATAATTAGATATGATAAATAATAACAGGCGATATAATATCTTCAGAAAAGTTTAACCACAGATAACTTATACTAATATTATGATATTTACAACTAGTAGTAGCCTACTAAATGTACAGGACCACTCACAATAAAATTAAAAATATAAAATAATAATAAAAATAAATAAAATGAAATTTTAAAATTTGATAGTTATTAGAATATCAAGAACACATACATATAAAAAAGAGGTAACATTTAAAAAAGAGGGAACCTCTTAAGGTGCTACAATAGATCTCAAAGTCACACTTCAAAATATCTTCAACTTAGTAATACCTAATATTATGTGTAACACAAATAAGTTACTAAATGATTTCACTTATAGTATGTTCATATTGCCTTCATTAAAGTAATTTATTTGATTTAGGTTGCTAATGAAGTTGATTTACTATACAAAGAGCTTTAGTGCTTTTTAACTTGGTTAAGAATAAATGGAGGTAAATTACAACAATAATATCAAATGCAGCATTGCAAAATATATTTCCCAAAAGGGAAATTATCGCAATTTGACATATGAAACACACGTAATAAAATGAAAATAAACAAAAAACCAACTAGACAAACAAACCTGAGGTAAGAATTTTATAAAAAGTTTGTTTTTTATGAATAAAATATATAATTGATATACAGTAATATATATATCAGATTATATATCAAGTATATATTTAACAAAAACTATTCATATTTGTTGGCTATCAGCACAAACAAAAACTCTCCTGAAACTTTCACAGAACTTTCTACCACAAAGAGCTCTTTCACATACATAAATCAACTTATGCCAATGGAAACGACCAAATCTTAATTTCGTTAATATAAATCGATTTAGCTGCAGTGGAAACATGGTATTATACTAAGTTGATTAAACGCTATATTAAGATTGTCGGGATATCTGTTTCACAGTATCTTCATCAAATATTTCCTTTGTCAACACGTCGATTTTTTTATTTTACATGGAAAGAAAATATGAATAATTTTTATTGCTATCAATCTTAAGAGATAACCACTTGTCTTCAGCTTTTATGCTGCTTTAAAAATATAAAAAGTTGAGTTCATTATAAAATTTGACAATACTGACAAACTCTTTGTTTGGGACTTAGTAGGATACTTTAGTTTTCTCACAAATCCTTCTTTTTCTTCATTCTATTACGTTCCCAGGGAAACATTGGACCATATCTCTCTCACAAATTGCTTGTATCTAATCAATAGGACTATTTAATATATTAGTATGGAAATTAAGCATAATTTTATGTCATCTAATATCGTTCCTTTAAGTCCTGTCATGCATTTCAGAACAACTTTCAAAATGGGCAGTCAGAACTATAACAACTATTTTAAAATACGAACGTAGCTATATGTCAATCGATAATTTTAGAACCTATTAGAAAGTATATAGCCTATGCCCAACCTAAGAGGCTGCACGAAACCGTTAACGTTGAGCAAGGCTTATTATTATTATAATTATTATTATTTTAAAAAGTAGTTGGTGATTATGGTTTAGTAGTATTTTCTCATTAAAGTGACAGATTATACAAATCATATCAAAAATTTCGTCTCATTATATGTTTGTTAATTATTTAATGTTATTTGTTGTACCGTTATTTATGATAATAACTCATTCTTTTAAAAATCAAACATATATTAACTCAATATTACGAAACCAACCAGTTTTGTGGTTTCACAAACGGTTGACTGGACTGGACTGGACATGAATGCAATTTTGTTAAATTGCCTCATGCAATTATCCTTTTTTCACGCACATCTCGAGAATCGCGAAAAATGTATGCCAGCTTTTAATTTATGTAATTTCTGATGTGTTTTATCATTCCAGCTCGAACACCTGCTCCAATCTCTGTCAACTGCCCAACGGCTACAATTCCAGATGCGAGCAGAAATTCGTGCAGAAACGCTTAATTGCGTTGCAGGGCAACGGTCAGAACCTCTACACGGACACTTTCTGGTTTCCCAGTTGCTGCGTCTGTACAATATCGGCAAATTGATTCCAATTCAACGCAAATAAATCGCTTCAATCAACTGCAAAACAAAGGCGACGGAAAACAATAAAATTACAGATACATTCAGCAAAATGCAGAAAAGTTCAGATAAACGCAAAAAAAAAAATCATTTCTACTGGTTCTTGTAAATTTTTTCCATTCAAAATGTACAAAATTTTAAATGTATGTAAAAAGCACACAAAAAAATATCCTTACATATCAATTGTAATATTTAATTTAATTAATTAATAAATAAAAGAAAGAAAAAACTTTATACTTTATTTTAAATAAATAATTTGATGAATAATTTTCAACATTTCAACTGTGAGTTTATTTTCTCTTCAAATGAAATAATAACAAAAAATTAATTATTTTTCAGAGAACCGATAACTAAATAAATATCATGGAAAGCAGATTTATTATATTTTTATAATAAAAATGAATTATTTTATTTAATTTGAAAAATAAACAACTATTCTAAATAACATTTCCATTTACAGTTTGTGGAAGAAATGCATATAACGTTTAGCTCCGCTCACATATAAAACGGAAATATTAAAGAGTTTGTAAGGATTTTATTTATTTATTTCTTAACTTGAATTAAATACTTAATTCATATATATAAATATATATAAATATATATCGTTATATATCGTCCAGCACTGGCAAGTAGGAGGAAGATTGTCTTGGGCCACCATTTGTTTGGTGATGACTTGGCAGGCAACCTTAAGCTAAATGAGATGCTTGCATTAACAAGCGATGTAGTTATGCGAACAGAAGTCACTCCAGCTTTAACTCAATAACGACATCCGAGAATAGAAGAACGAAAGATGACCCAAGTAGTTTCGTGGTCTACGGTACGCTTTCTCAACGTCCCACCATAAATAAGTATCGTTATATATATAAATCTTGAGAGTGACGTATGCAGGAAAAGGATAGATCTCCACTTGACAGTATAATCTATAGATAAATATAAATAGAAACCCTGCCAAAATGTATGTAAATGTATATTCTATATATATTCTATAGTACCTCACTTCTATATATACTTCTATAACTCGAACTTTTTTAACTCAAATTTTCTACAACACGTACTAAATCAAGTGCAACAGGGTTTAGAAAGAAAGTTTCTTACAATTCTTTAATTCGAAATCTCCATAAGTTGCACCTTTTCATTGCAAAATTGTACTTCGAGTTATAAAAGTTTGACTGTAATTGCATTTTAACGTCAGTTAAGATGTTAGTGACTATTTTTAATTAATAGAAACTATTATATTTAATAGAGAGGTTTAAACAGCAATAAACTTCTACAACAACAATTTTTTTTATTATTTTAATTAATTGAATTTTCAGCTGAGCGCTGTTTCGAGTATTACCAAGTACCCATCGTCAGTGGTCTTGGAACTATTTCTGTTACTTATCTATTTGTAAATAATTGTTTGAGACTGCAAGTAACAAGAATTGAACTCGTACCCCACCAAATTAGAAACTTAGATTCAGTGTCCATTATATAGTTGACCTAAAGCCATACCTGAGTTGTATGTGCAAACTTGGAGTTTGGTTAGTTTACCCAATGGAACAATAGAACAATAATAAGGACATGAAAACCAAAGTTAAAAAATCTACGATTATGCTATTTAAATAGAAGTAAACGTGGCTAACAAGTCTGCACTGCCAAATGCTCCTTATTCCTTATCTGTATCCCTAATCTTAACACCTGCTTTGGCAAACTCGTCTGCTTTGCATTTATCCGTAATATCCTAGTAACCATATCACTTAGATATTGACAATCCCAGCCAACATGTTAACAATAGGCTAGAGTTCCTGAACTGCTAAGATTGAAGCTTACTAGAGATTTGATAGAAGCTAAGCTATTCAAAAAAATTGCTACAAACATATCGGTAATTCTATTACTTGCTAACTATATCACTGAGTAAATACAACAGGATAAGGTATAGAACCGTCTTGTAGTTGAATAGTAATAGTAAGATAAGATAGTAAATAAGATAGACATGTATGACAACAAATTTTAATAAAGATAGCTATTTTTTTAACTACTTCAAAATTAAAAAAACTATAATTAAAACAAATAACGAAGTAACCAATCTCTCAAAGTAGGAAAGACCTTCAGCACCTATCCTAGCCTACCCTTAGCAAAACCCCATACATAACTACTTTTGTAGATGATACCTTTGTATTTACTAATGGTTGCCCAGACTGGTTAAGCAAATGACTTCTACGATAAGTAATAAAGTCTTGCCCCCAGTGATTTTTCAATGTGCTTATGTAGACGTTGAGTATAGATCTCGGTTTCAAAATCCGAATTAGAAATCTTACAGAGAACTGAGATATTGGACCATAACGAAAAGTTTCAACAATGTTTAAGAAAATCAGCAATATAATTTACACCCATATTAATTAGTTAACTATTCAAGACCCCGGTGGCTCGCGTTATTATCTGTATCAGTCTTATTAAATATTAATAAAGTTAATTTATTTTGTTTCAATTTATGTTGTATTATTACATAATCTTATTTGATTTTAGTTCTTTATATTTAATTATGTATTTAATAAAATTTATTTTTATTTGTCTTTAATTTCTTTAAATTTTATTTGTGAGATGATTTTATATATATTTTATTTATTTTTTAATTTATTTCTATATATTTTATCAATGATTTTGTGCCAATTATTTTTAGTAAAAAATTATATTAAAAGATCATTGGAATAAAACACAAAGCTAGAAACGAAGTACGAAATATTCTTTGGAACAAGTTACTGCCCATGTTGCTCACCACATGACATCCAACAATAGACAAAGAAATCAGTATTAGAAAATGGATATAATGTGTAGTCTTCAATGCAACAGCTGCCATATAAGCACAAACATCAATAGAGATCTTTTAAAGGTAAGTCACAGGTAGAAAGTAGATACTTTAATACTACGTTCAGGTTCAGGTACTGAAACAAATGTGTCAATATATCATTAGTCAAACATTGTGCAAATTAATTGATTTCAGTTCTGTCCTTTTATGAATTTTTGCAATACTGTTTTCATGAGCCTAAATATTACCTTTCAAAAAAATATTAGTATTAAAATAATATATAAATTTACCAATTTTATTGCTAGAAGCTTTTTGAATATTAAAAATTATTTTTTCCACTAAAACTACTTATAGTTATATTAATTCAAAAATTACTCAACAATTCTACAATGTTCAATTATAGTATAATTTTTATATAATAAATTATTATATACTAATTCATTAGTTTTAATATCGAGTTATACTTTTTATACCTATTCAAAAGATAGTGTAGAATTTTAGATTTTATTTACATAACAATACTTTGTAAAATATTTTTCTACTTTTTTACATAAGATTATATATATAAACTGTAAAACTTTTCGTTTGTGCCATTTCTGTTGGAGGATATGTGTGCCTTAGTTTATCCTTTACACACGAATGATTTGTCAGATAGAGAAAATGTTTTACAGAATTATAACATGTGTCCACGGCCCAATGTTTTCCTGGGAACGCAATGGAGTGAAGAAAAAGAATATAACACGTTTCCACTTGTTTTATTTAGACAGTTTTGCTCATTAAGACCCTTTAGCATAATTTACCACATATTTACCATTCGACTTTTCTCGCCTTGAATAAGTTGATTTATTTATAATGAGCTCATTTATATGAAAGCACTTCGTATAGTAAATTATCAAATTGCCTGAATTAGAATAGTGGAAACATGGTATGTATTAACCTTCTCCGATTTCATATATGAACTGATTAATAACTAATTACGGTTTTTTTAAAAAAATTCATTCTCAATTGGATCATTAAAAGATGTCGATATAAACATCTTATAATGTATGAAGAGAAATTGTACTTTTGTAAAAAAGTATTTGCTTTTGTTATTTATTATTTGTTAATACGAATGACATCCTCATGGACCTCAACATTAATCTCATCATAAAATACATAAAGGATAGAGCTCTAAAATTATTTGCGAAAACTGACAGACTTATTTACAACGCATTATCAAATCTCAGAATGGTTACAAGCTCCTCGATGAGATATGCGGATCTGAGGACAATTATTGCCTAGTCTGATGAAGTGATTAACAATAATCCAGTGAAGGCGTAAAGAGGGATTTTGAAAATACCACGAGTTAAGAAAGAGTAAAAGTGCTCAAGTGCAATTGGCTCAAATAGCTTCAACATAATAATACAATTTAGTATTATTTATGAATATAAGATAAAGTAAAATAAAATAAAATGATATGTATATATGTAGACATATGTGGGACACTCAGTAGTAATAACCGCTAATAAAATATGAGGATTATTTGATACTTCTTAGAGTCATCATACCATTCTAGTTATGATGACTCTTGCAAATAATTAAATAGAAATTATTTTTTTAAAAAATATCTAATATTTTAAGTGCAAACCGTCAGTTTTATATTTACTTTAATTATTAAAATAAAAAAGTGCGTTATTTCTGATATTTAATGAAAATATGTTAAAGGCTTTTTTAAGAAAAGAAATTCATTTTCCATGAATATGATCGATTCTAATATATTCATACACTGTTCTTAAGAGTGAAATATTAAGTAAATAACTATTTACTTAAATGAATATTTTAATATTTATCTTAATTTAAATCTTAATTTAAAAAGAAAAGAGTAGCTCTCCATAGGTAAAACTACCTTAATTGTAAATTATCATGACTTAAATAGTGTTTATTAAAAAATTGTAAAATATCACCATATAATGTGACAGAATAGATATTGAATTTGAATTAAATAAAAAAAGAATTTATCATAATAACAACAAAAAATACAATAAATTGAAAGACAGTTATTATCAGTTCAAAACTATAGTAAATTCATTCAATTCCACGTACTTCATATTTATGCGTAAACTTCAAATCGATTTATTAATAAAAAAAAATACAAAAATTTTAATAAACAAACAAATATTACCGTTTAATTTTTTTTATTAATAATTAATAACAATAAATTTGCCTCACTTTTCAAAAAAAATCAAAATTGTTTTGTTTTTATTTTTAACAAAACTTCAAGCAATTAAATTATGCGGAGAGATCAGAGATATATGCAAAGATATGTCTCCGGAGTAGTGTGTGAAGAGAAAGAAACTT